ATTTCCTGAGCTCAGAGGTTTGAGATCAGCCTGGGCAACTTGGTGAGACCTTATCTCTAAAAATATATCAAAAAATAAGCTGGGTGTGGTAGCATGCATCTGTAGTTCCAGCTACTTACTTGGAAGCTGAGACAGAAGAATCACAAGAGCCCAGCACTTTGAGGCTGCGGTGGCTATGAGTGTGCCACTGACTCCAGTCTGGGTGACGGAGAGAGACTCCAACTCAAAAAAATAATAAAATAAAATAAAATAACTTTCAATTCTATGTAGACAGAAGTTTTTTCTATCTGTATAGTCTCATCGCTATAGCTTATGTTTATAAATATGCATATATTAGAAAGATTGCTGATTTATTTATTTATTTTATTTTTTTGAGTTGGAGTCTCACTCCGTCGCCCAGGCTGGAGTGCAGTGGCCGCTCCCAGCCACCGCAGTATCGACCTGCTGGGCTCCAGCGATCCTTCCGCCTCAGCCTTTCAAGTAGCTGGAACTACAGGTGTGCGCTAACACACTTGGCTAATTTTTTCGATTTATTGTAGAGATGAGGTCTCATCAATTTGCCCAAGCGGGTCTCGAACCCGCAGGCTCAGGCAATCCACTCACCTCAGCCTCCCAAGGCACGGGATTATAGGCTGAGCCACCAAGCCCGACTGATTGCTAATTTTTTTTTTTTTTTTTGAGTTGGAGTCTCACTCTGTTGCCCAGACTGGAGTGCAGTGGCTGCTCCCGGCCACCGCAGCCTCGACCCGCTGGTGTCTGGCGATCCTTCCGCCTCAGCCTTCCGAGTAGCTGGAATTACAGGCGCACGCTACCACGCCCGGCTAAGTTTTTGATTTTATTGTAGAGATTAGGTCTCACCTGCCCAGGCGGGTGTCGAACCCGCAGGCTCAGGCAATCCACTCACTTCAGCCTCCCAAAGGCGCGGGATTACAGGCTGAGCCACCGAGCCCGGCTCTGATTGCTAATTTATAAGAGTACAATTATAATAAATAACCCTATTTAGAAACTCATATGGAAATATGGCGTTGGTTGTTTATTATGAACCTGAACTCAGTTTGTTGAAAGTCCCTGCTTTTTATCTGAGCAGTAGCTACAAACTTTAAAAAATCTGTTTGCATTGTACTGAACTCCCTCAGCTCTTAAGGCCTTTTCTCCATGTTGTCCAGGAGAGCTTGGACAACATGCTTGGGACTCTGCTAGTTGCCATGGCAACTGCCAGGCCAGGGGGACTCCCAGCTGAAGTAGGCTGGAGAGGTTGTGGAAAACAGAAGCAGTCCCAGGATGATGGCTTCAGGGACAGTGTCCCTGCCCCTGGGCAACCCCATTCTAGAGGCAAAAGGCACCCTCACCAGCCCTGGGCCGAGATGAACCTGAGACTTCTTCTTCTTTGTCTTTCTTTCTAAAGGAGCAGGTGGGCGGAGGAAGATGGGGCTCCATTTATATTTTAAAAGAACAAGAAGATAATTTCTTACTGGGAAAATAAAGTGCAGAGGAAGTGTGGGCACTCTTCCTCTCCTCTGACCAGAGGGCCTACTACCTCAGCCCCAGCACCAACTTCCTGCAGAGGATGATGGGAAAGACTCACAGGGGAATGATGGGACAGGCCTCTTGATGGATGATGGGAAGGACCCCCAGGAGGATAATGGAAAACCCTGTCCTGGGGTATGATGGAAAGGGCTCCCTGGTGAATGATGGGAAGCCCTGCTTCGTGCATGGTGGGAGGTCCTCCATGATAAGGTTTTTAAAAGGTGAAGAGGTTCCTCCCCATTTTCTAGTAAGGAAAAACGTCCTGATGATGTCCTCACTTTTCTGCCTCTCAAGAAGAAAGGAAGATGATAGGCTGAATGAGCATTTTGATTTAGTATTTGAAAACATTACTCTTGTGATCACCTAGTATTTCTGGGTCACTGGGGGTTGGGGACAGAGATCCTGGGACTCTGAGTGAAGCTTCTACTCAACTTGATGAGGACTTCCTGGGATGTCCCAGGTGTGCAGAGGGACAGGTGTCCAATGCACCAGCTGCCTCTGGGCAGCTGTGGCTCTCAGCCTGACCTGAGCTGGGGAGCAGCTTCTTTCTGAAAGGAGAAATTTAGAATCTGGTTCACTTGCTGCAGGGAGCTGGGAGACCCATCCTGTTGTTTGCTCTGTCTCATCTTTGATGCCAATTATGTGGATAATTGCTAAACCTGCAGTGTAGCGCAATTACTGTAGATTGACTTGAAAGACTTTGGGTGTGGGGGAACCTGACTAATTTGTATAGGACATACATCTACTTGAAAACCTTGGGACTCAATAGCACTATAGCTGGGTGCCAGCTGTTAAATGATGCTATCCAGAACAAGGTTTGCTTAACCACCTGGTTTATGCCACTTCCTGGTGTTTGTCATTGAAGAGTCACTGAGCCAGTGGTTCTCTGCTTGGTAGATGATTTACATTCACTGCCATAAAACTGTAGATATCCCTTTAAATCACAGATCTGAAAGGCAGTATAGTGATGAGCAGCAACTGATCATGTGTCAGATGGTTTGGTTTGAATCCCCCATTTGCTGTATGATCTTGGGCAATGACCTTACTCCTGTCAACCAAAATTAAGGCTGGGGAGGCAGAAATAATTTGATAAAAGTTTATTGAAAGTCAAATTTGAGGATCGACCCAGAAAGACACACTGATAAAGTTGGTCTGTTATAGACTTTGGTCTGGTACAAGGTAGAAAGCTTTTATAAGAAAGTTTTGGAGAAGGGTAAGGGACTCACATTGGAATTGCCTTTTATTCACACAATAAAGAGGTTACAGTCTTTGGCTATAGATGACAACATACAAGCCAAAATGTTTTATGTGCAAGACAATAAGGAAAACATGATTTAGAAACAAATCAGTGTCATTTTCAGTGTCAGTAGTTTATGTATTAATTAGTATGTCAACAGTTTAAGGAACTCATGATAAGATTTGAGGGACTCACAGTAAGATTCTTTCCTCAAGGACAAGATGTAAGCAATGAATCATAAGAACAGCAGTTAAAATATAGTTTATTCTTTAAGTGTAGAGGTAAGTGACTTACATTTTGCCTGGCAAAACCTTAGGATCTGTTTATAATTTGGTATCCTATTGCCACAAGAGTTCATTCTATCAGTCTTATGATCTCTATTTTAAAATTAATGTTGGTCAGTTGTTGTGTGTAAAACTGCAAAAGGGAGGGGTATTAGTGAAGCATGTCTGAACTTCCTTGCCATCATGGCCAAGAATTCATTATTTTTCTTTCACTGGTTAGAGTCTTGAACGAGCATTGCATTAGTCCATGAAGGACTCAGTTTTAAGGCTACTCTGGGGTCTCCTTGGCCAGGAGAGGGGCTATTCAGCTGGTAGGGACTTATGATTTTAATTTTAGCTTACACTCTCCTGTAATTCCCTTCCCTTAATTGTAAAATAAGGAAACGATAGTGAGGACCTAAGAAGATAACTCATATAAAATCGTGAAGACAATGTCAGCACAGTAACAGAATTTAGCAAACATTACTATTCTTATAACTAATTTGAAAGTTGAATTTCTGATATTTATTTTATATGTAAAAAGCTAACATCTATTTGCATATACTTGATTATATTACCATTCCAGATTTCTAATATTTAAAATACTTTTAACATTTTATTATAAAAATAAGACATGTTCAATCGTAGTAAATGTGGGCACTGCCAACAAGTATAGAGAAATAAATGATCCTTTGTTATCCTAAATTCCCCACTTTTCTCCCACAAGGAAAGCTGTTCAATTTGGATGTTTACAATCTTTTTATCTTTGCAACTAAAATTCAACATAATTTTAGGATTTTTTTGTGTTAATTTGCTTGGAGCTTAATTGTATATTCAGTAAGTGATGTATTTAGGCCTGAGGACTGGTTAAGATTGTAACCTTCCATATAGCATTTTTTTCTGAGGGAGAAGTCTGCAGGAACTGCGTGCCCTGAAAAATCAGTGGGTTACTCACCACGTGGATCTGGCATCTGTGAAACCAAATCCTGTTTACTCAACCAGTGCTCCCCAGCTCCCATGGTAACAACAAATAACGCACCTTTGCTGTCTGGGATGATGACAGAGGAAATAAAAAGGAGATCAAGAGGCACCTTGAGGAGGTGGAGTGTGCCAGGAGACTAGAGGAAAGCCAGGAGGAGGGTCCTAAGTGCGAGGAATGTGCGCGCGTGTTCGTTTGAGCGCGGATGACAATGTGGGAGTGTGAGGGTGGAAGGGTGCGGGTAGCTAGAGGAGGGTTGCGGAGCTCTGGTTGGGACACTGGAGAGTCGCCGGAGGGAACTGGGACTCACGTCTGGGTCGGGGAGGGATGTCACACCCGAACGGACATCAGTGTGGACCGCATCTGCTAAGATATCAGAGCTGCCTGCTTGAGAATGGAAATGTTTACAAGCAAGAGAAGCGATCTCAGCAGACGAATCTCTGTGACCCGCGAACACCGAAGGACCAGAAGAGCCTAGAAAGCTAAGAAGGGGTGGGCAGCGCCCCCGGAGGGACACAGGAGGCCGAGGGGCGGTGTTGGAGGGGGCAGTGCCCTCTGGAGAGTTGCTCCGGACGCCCCTCTGCGCCCTTGCTCCTGAGGGCGCAGTACCAAGGTTGCTCCACGTTGTGGCGTCGCTGGGCAGACAATCAGAGGGATTCCGGGGGCCAGCGACATGATGTCTAGGTTAGAGAGCTGGTGGGCAGCCGGGTACGGAGCCCGCCAAGGCCCCGCCTCTCCCTCCTCTCGTGCTACGATTGGCGGAGGTGGCGCCGCGTGGCTGTCTATGACAGTAGCCGAGGGTTCCCCCTGGCTCCTTACGCCCCGCCCTCCGGCTCTCCCCTCCCTCTTCTCGGGCGGCGATTAGTCGAGGTGCCCTTACCGTTGCGGTGACAGAACACGAAGGCTGCCAGTGGCTCCTCCTGCGCCGTCCGCCACGCCCCTTCCCTCTGGCCACCTTCCGGGCTGGGGCGGAGGCGGGGCTGGCCGCGTTTCCATGACGACGTCGGACGCGGCGGTCGAGACGACTTGTGCCTACCTGCCAGAGACGCGGCGGCGGGAATCAAGGCTAGGGCGAGACCATGTCGGACCTGGGCTCGGAGGAGTTGGAGGAAGAGGGAGAGAATGATCTTGGGGTGAGAGCGCTTAGTGAGGGAGGGGCTTTCCGGGGTGCACGGCAGCGAGGGACCTTCCAGAGGCCAGGTTTAGAGGGGGGAGGCGTGGAGACCAGAAGACTGAGCCACAGCCGTCCAGGAGGGCCAGCCAGGGACGAGGGCCATGCCAGTCACATCGGGCGCTTAGTCCTAGAAGTTGATGGCGAAAGGTGAAACGCTGTGACGTCTGGTTACCACATCCCTCCTCGTTCTCCCCCCACTTCCATCCCGCCTCCCCTTAAAGGCGAAGATTTCCAAGTGAAAGGCTTTGGACGTTTCCTCCCTGTGTTAGCCCCAATCGAGGCAGATTTCTTGGATGACTGTATCACCCCAAGCTGTCACTATCCTTGAATAATTCATTTCTGTAACTCCAGCGTTAAGATAGATGGAGGGAAGCTACTCTCTGGCAGCCTCCAAGAAATGCTGAGGAGTCACTGGCCTCAGGAGAGGGTTCCTGACGATTCTACCATGTGGGCCTGTACACCCATGTGCTTTCTTCAGTCTCCTCTGAACTGATCCAGGTCGTTAGAATTGTTTCCTAGCTTAGGCAGCAGAGAGAAGGTAAGGGATGTCCATCCAGTGATGTGAGTTGGGCTCTGTGTGTGTGTATTTGCATTACCCAGAGAGTAGTTCCTCTCTCAGTCAGAGGGTAACCACTCCCTGGCTGACAGATTGGGAACTTCAGCTGCTGTGTGTATGGTATTAATGGAAAAATCTAGCATCCCTGCTGTGATGCTGTCAGTGCCTGCTCAGACCTGTTTGCTGGCCCTGGGCACTCATCTTCCAACTCCTACCTCTGGGCTGCTGAAGGTTAGCATCCCTATGCACTGGAACTACCTGGCCAGTACAGAGAGTCATAAATACCTGAAATTGGTCCCGGACCCCCATAGCTAGTGCAAAAAGCAGAACAAACTCTGCAGTGCAATTTGCGCTCTTTGCTGTGCTCACCTGTTCAGCTTCTGCTTCTGGGCGAACCCAACCTGCAACACCTGCCCAGCAAGTTTTCTAGTTTCGTTCCTCAAATGGTCCTACTAAGTTGTAACTTTTCAGTGCCCATAATTTTTAGTTTTAGATCACATTTAGGGTCACTTTAAAGTATTTCACTCTTATTCAGCCCCCCAGCATCTCAGTATTGGGAGGCCTCTTGGACAAGAAGGGGTGTTATGTACATTTTGATTTGCACTAACCCTGAAACAAATCTGTAAGGCCACTAATTTTTACCTTATATTTATTCTAGGCAAGAATTTCTGGGTCAAACTGCTAGGAAAGGGCAAGAATTATACAGATGTTTTTTAAAGAAGTTCTCAATGTAGTGTGTCTGTACTTGTGTTATAATAAGTCTAGATAGATCCAATTCTATTTTTACTTTTTGATTTTTAATATATTTTATTGTATATATTTAAGGTATGCAACATGATGTTATGAGATACCCATGAGATACCAATCATTACTATCTGCTTCAGCCATTTTATTTTTTATGATAGGCATTCTATACAATGTATTAGTTGCTAAGGAACATTTATTTTATGAAGAATCCAAAAATATGGAAATTTTACACTTCTGTCACATTTTGTATTGATTACTTTCAAGATGGATATGTAATCCTTGCAGTATTTGGGCTACGAGTGTTTTAATTGATAGGCAGTTTAAAAATAAGATTCACTAAGTAGATAACAGAATCAAGTACTCCTCAGTGCCCTCCTACCTTCCTCCCTTTTACCAGAAATTCCCTAAAGGGCAAAGGTGTCTTCTGGCCACAGACAGCCCAAGGATCATTTGAAGGAAGAGTTACCTCTCTAAGGACTTTTACCTTTTAAGTCCTGGATTCCTGGATTCCTGGAGGAAGCGAACAGGGAGGTATTTGTGTGGACTTGGGAACTGTCTCATCTGCACGTGCTATTATGCTGTTTCAAGCATATTCCTATAAGGAACACAACTTGGAGTACCTGGCATTTTTCAAAATGGGTTGATATTATTTACAACATAAAAGAATCTCATGATAAATTGCATGCTCAGATGTTGGAGGTGGGGATAGCTATGCCCATGTGCTGGTGTGTGACCATGGTTCAGTACTTCATCTTGCCCAGGCTTGGTTAGCTACCTCACCTATAAGGTGGGACAATTTAGTGTAGCACTGAGGATTGGGAGTCTTCAGTGGACCGCTGTTTATAAAATGCTTAGTACATGATTCATGCTTAATGAATGGGTAGCTGCAGTTATCTCAATTTCCTTTACCAGGAGTATGAGGGAGAGCGGAATGAGGCTGGCGAACGGCACGGACATGGGAAAGCGAGGCTACCTAACGGGGACACCTACGAAGGGAGCTATGAATTTGGTAAAAGACACGGCCAGGTCAGAATCAGTGACTGACTGGTGGTTTCTCTATTTAATACTCTGTTAGTAAATATTATGTTCAGGAATGATATGAATTATATAATCAATGTGTTTCAGGGGATCTACAAATTTAAAAATGGTGCTCGATACATCGGAGAATATGTTAAAAATAAAAAACATGGTCAAGGAACTTTTATATATCCAGATGGATCAAGATATGAAGGTAAAATGTTATTGCAAAGAAAACTTTTGTGTTGCAGAGGGATTCTTTTTCACGTTTTTTATAATTGCACTTGTCTGTGAATACTGAAGTATGAGAAAGTTTAAAGTTCTCCAGATTATTCATTCAATGAGCACAAAGGATATTCTTATGTTTACAGAGTTGATGCAGCATCCAGAAAGCCTTGTAATTAATTAACAAATTTATTATTATTATTTGAGTTGGGATTTCACTCTGTTGCTCAGGCTAGAGTGCAGTGGCACAATCATGGCTCACTGCAGCTTTGACCTGCTGGACTCAAGCATCCTTCCACCTCAGCCTCTCAAGTAGTTGGGACTATAGGTGTGTGCCACCATGCTACTTTTTTTTTTTATTTTTTGTAGTGATGAGGTCTCACCATGTAGCCCAGGCTGATCTCAAACTCCTGGGCTCAAATGCTCTTTCTATTTCAGTCTTCCAAAATGCTGGGATTACAGGCATGTGCCACCATGCCTGGCCAATCTTTTTATTATTAATGGGAAATCTGATTGTCCCTGTGACCAGCTCCCCCTCCACCAACCCCCCAACGTGAGCTCATATACTGGGAGCAAGTGAAAGGGAGGCTGTTGGGCGAGCACAGGCCTTGGGCATTGGTAGGACCCATGGCTTCAGAAGCTCTGCAGTATTCATATCCTTGAAGTTGTCTTTCCTGTTTTCCATTTTCAACCAACCTCTCTTCTGATGGACATATTGTTTCTTTAGATCTAGCATCCTTCAGTGAGAGCTTCTGGTCTGGGAGGCATTATGCCTTGTTGAACCGGCTTTTCCTCTCTCTGTCATAATTCCTTACATGACAACGCTGTGTTTCAGGAAGATTCTTGTTCCTTAATTTCCCAGAACCACACTACTTTCCCCATGTACCATTGTCACATGATGTGACTACAATGCTAGACTAATCCCAAACCTGGAAAGAGAAACAGGTAGGGGAGTAGGTTGTGAGTCTTTAGTAATTGTATGTAAAATTCTGTCTTCTGGGCTTTTTTTCTCCCTGGGAGGAAGTTATCTAGTTTTCATCAGATTTCCAGAAAGATCTGTGACCCCAGCCCTGGACTCTGGTGATAATAGGTGTGACCTTGCATGGGTGGCTTCACCTGTCCTTGCCTCAGCTTTTTCACCTGTAGCACTTAAAATCTTGCCTGATTCATGGTATGTGCTTAGTAAGTGTTGGCTAGGATGGAGATGTACTGTGTGTGGCAGCATCACTTCTTAATGAGGATGATATATTCTTAAAAAGTGTAGCCGGGCTCGGTGGGTGGCTCAGCCTGTAATCCCGCGCCTTTGGGAGGCTGAGGTGAGTGGATTGCCTGAGCCCGCGGGTTCGAGACCCGCCTGGGCAGCGAGACCTCATCTCTACAATAAATCAAAAAATCAGCCGGGCATGGTAGTGCGTGCCTGTAATTCCGGCTACTTGGAAGGCTGAGGTGGAAGGATCGCTGGAGCCCAGCAGGTCGAGGCTGCGGTGGCCGGGAGTGGCCACTGCACTCCAGTCTGGGTGACTGAGTGAGACTCCAACTCAAAAAAAAAAAAAAAAAAAAAAGTGTAAGCGGCCAAGGTTGGTAGCTCAACCTGTAATTCCAGCACTTTGGGAGGATGAGGCGAGTGGATAGCCTGAGCCCACGGGTTCGAGACCAGCCTGGGCAACTTGGCAAGACCTCGTCTCTACAATAAATAAAAAAATTAGCCAGGTGTGGTAGTACCTGCCTGTAGTTCCAGCTACTTGGAAGGCCGAAGTGGAAGGGTTGCCCAAGCCCAGCAGGTTGACACTGGGATGGCCATGAGAGTGCCACTGCACTCCAGTCTGGGTGACAGAGTGAGACTCCAACTCAAAAAAAAAAAAAATGTAAACTACAGTTACTTGCTTTGCTCCTGGATAAAACAGCAACCAGTAATAATAGATGTCAAGTGGAATTCTGCCCAATTCGGAGACTAAGATGGAGAGTGTTAATGCCGTCCTTGTTAGAGATAAATTTTTTGTTTTATTTGCTCCAGAATTACCATCTGCTTTTTAATCAACTTTAACCAATTTAATTTAAGGCTTAATTTAATTCTTTCTAAATCCTTATGTCCTTATGTGCCTAATTTCATTGTTGTCACTTTTGATTATAGTGTAGACATTGATACATTTTGAACAACATATCACTGTCATGGTTCTAACTGATACACACACACACACACACACACACGCACATGTATATATATGATACTCAGGATAAGAGATTTAAGGAATTTTATTACGAAGATTAACTAAAGGGAAAACTGTTTCTCGACTCACAACATCTCTGACACCAAATATATGGATTCTCCATACCAGGTAATTCTCCAGTTCTCTGTAGACACCAACTGGGTTTCCAAGGATTCAACTCAATTCTGACACTACACAGAGTTAGCATGGATCCCAAGGGTTAAGGGCCCAAGTCCCCCACATCTGCCCCACTTCTGATGCCAATCACAAATGTGGGTCCCTGGAGCACCCACACTTCTCTCTGAGTTGCCTACAAATCAGGAGTTCCTACGACCCCCTCCTCAGATTTAATGATTTGCGGCAATGGCTCACAGAACTCAGGGCATGCTTTACTTACTTTTACCAGTTTACTGTAAAGAGAATTATAAAGAATGTAGATGGACAGCCAGATGCAGAGGCACAAAGGACAAGATCCAGAAGTTCTCTCAACACAGGCGCTTCTGTCCCTGTAGAGTTGGTGTCCACCACTCTCCTGATAAATGATACATTTAGCAACCCAGAAGCTCAACATATTTCCTCGTTCAAGAATTATTATGGAATCTAATCTCCTATCCCTTTCCTCTCCTTCCCTGAGGTTAGTGGGGCTGAAAGTTCCAACTTTCTAATCACTTGGTCTTTCTGGTGACCAGCCCCATCTGGAGGCTATCCTAGAGCCCCACCCTAAGTCACCTCATTAGCATAAACTCAGGTGTGATCAAAAAGACATTTCTATCACTAGGAAAATTTCAAGGGTTCTAGGAGCTCTGTGCCAGGAACCACGACTAAAGACCAAATATATTTTTTTATTATGCCACACTAACTTATAAAGCTCATTTGGAAACAGTTGGGAGTTTTGCTTCTCCAGATGACTTCGTATCTTAAAGGGTGCAAGCTACAGTCACTACTCAGAGAGTTCTTCTCTCACTAAAGCTTAAATAAGTGTCTTATTTCACCAAGGCAGTAATAGAAACTGAGGCCAGAAGTTATAGTATTAATTGTATTATAGCTCAGCAAGTCAACAATCTTCCAATCACAAAGTCTAAGTTAATGCACAGCTGAATATTCATAACAGCATATCATAGCTGACTGCCATCATAATAGCCAGGGCAATGTGTTCAGCTCAGGACCCCAAGGCTTGAGGCCCAGCATTGGCCTCCCAGATGCTCAGACAGGTCCAGTTAGGGAACCTAGGAACCAGCAGAAGCTACAGTACTTAGGAAAGGAGCTGGGAGGCATTCCTGTGTCGATAGGTAGAGGCAGGAAGGCAGAGGTGTTTAGAGGTAGTGGGAGATGAGGGTGGGGGGATGAATGGGTGTCAGATTTTGGAGAGGCCTGGACTATATCTAGAGATTCTGAGGTTTGGGATGGGGGGTCAACTGAGGGCTATGAGGTTGGGAAAGGAGAAAGCACATTACTATTCCATGCTGACCTTGTTGCCGGCCATGCAGAACTAATCAAAATGAAGAAGTTTAATGATAAAGACATGGTTTAAAAAAAATGATTGAATACTTGATTAGCTTTTCTGGAAGCTTCCACATGGCAGGAGCTGGAAGAAGAAATGAGCGCCTGACTATTGAGGTGCTTGTGGAGAAGAGAGCATGATTTCGGAATCAGAAAGACACAGATTTTCAGTTCTGTCCTGCTGCCTCCCAACTGTGTACACACAATCTCTCTGCTTTTCGGGTTCTGTGACTGTAAAACCACGTCAGTTATTACATATACTAAATGCTGTGGCAAGTGCAAAGAGCCGGAGTCTGGCACAGAGTGTTTCCCATTAAGTGCTGTCTCCTGCTCCTCTGTGTTTGGCTGACCCTGCAGTGCAAGGAGATGACTTGGCGAGACCCATGGCCAGCATGCACATCGGTCACTGGCTGGCCATTGAGATGGAAGGAGCCTCTCTAAGAACTTTTCATTTTAAATTACCTTTAATCCCCAGAGTGCCAGAGCTGGGAGCTGTGGTGATTCTGGCAGGAGTTGACACCTGGGGACAGCTTTGTGAGCAATGTAGTTCTCTCCCCCAGGAGAACCCAGCCCCACATCAGCCAACCAACTGACCAAGGGTGGGAATTCCTCCTGAGGAGAAATATAGTTAGAAAAAAATATCAGTTGATAAGATCAAGAATGATAACAAAGTATAGGACAAGTGGTGGAAATACCACCCCCAAAAAATTAAGTGCAAATTTAAAACAACAATCAGGCCAGGCGCAATGGCTCAAGCCTGTAATCCCAGCACTTTGGGAGACTGAGGCAAGAGGACTGCTTGAGTCCAGGGGTTTGAGACCAACCTGGGCAAATTTGTGAGACCTTGTTTCTACAATAAATAAAAAAATCAGCCGGGCATGGTAGTGCATGTCTGTAGTTCCAGCTACTTGGAAGACTGAGGTGGAAGGATTGCCTGAACCCAGCAAGTCGAGGCTGTGGTGGCCGTGAGTGTGCCACTGCACTCCAGCCTGGGTGACAGAGTGAGACTCCAACTCAAAAAAAAAAAAGGATAAAGCGATAATCATAAAGTTTGCAAATGTCATTCAGTTCAAAAAAGGAAACTTAACTCATGGTGTCACAGACTTGCCTCAGCAGGTGGCCTTTCTCTGAATTGTTTCTCCCAGTTATGAAGCCTTCCCTATGGTGGCATTAGACTCTACTGGACAGAGTCTCTAACAGGGTTCTTAAATGGGTCAGGACTTTAAAAACATTTGTTCACCAGTCCACACTATAGTGCCCTTCGCAACTTAATTGTTCCCTTTCATTTTTGAAAAATTTCTGCAAAATATATCATGTATTTTTCTTGCCATGATTTCCCCAGAGACCAGCTCACATGGTCAAGAGAAGAGAGCAATAATAATTTTGTCATGGTCTTTTGTTGGGAAGAAACCAAATGAAATAACTGTTTGAGCCGGGGTCTCTTTGCCCCAGGGATGAGTGGAGCAACTCATAGCAACTCACAAAAGTCAATTCTGCACTTCTTTCCCAGCTCCATTTGTAGCCTGAAACTGGCCAAGCTAGGAACATTTGTACTACAGAAATTGGCAAATGCTACAAATCCAGGCACACACTTGCCCCTTAAGAACCGGACAAATCCTCCAGGATCTGCACGTTTTACATGTCCTTATGGACATGCAACTGAAGTAGTTTTTACTGAATTGTCTCAATTTTGGGATTCTCCATCTCTCTTTTTCATGTTGGTTTTGTCACATATCACATCATGGAACCTAATTCTGTGCATCAACTGCTAACGATTGTTACCTTTTTTCTCTTCATGCCTGCTCTTTTCTAAATATTAGGCGAATGCACAAGTTCATAGCGTTTGTTTTCGGAATGACAACACTGCAGTGTTGGGAGTTTGCTTATTGTATATCCTTTGTCATTTGGAGTGACAATGTTGTGCTTGTGAATACACCTCGCATTTTGCAGATTTGAAGAAAGTTGGTGCTATTTGTGGGCTAAAGAAGATGGAGTGTCAAGTGCGGGGGGCGGGGGAAGAGCACTTCCGACATATCCTTCTGTTTGAATTTAGCAGAGGAGTGAAGGCCGCAGAGGCGGCTGGAAGCATTCATGCTGGGCAAGAAAGTGGTTTTGTCATTTCAAAGAGGGCCACTTTGACCTGAGTGATTCTTCATGTCCAAGTAGACCATCAGGCTTTGATGAAGACCATTTATTTATTTATTTATTTATTTTTTTGTGGGTTATTATAACTTTATTTATTTATTTATTTAACTTTTTTTTTTCATTAATCAGTATTTTTTATTATGGTTTTGTGGGGTACAGTTAAGGGTTAGGTGTACAATGACGTTTCATTCAGGCACCCTGTAGATAAGAAGTGTTTTCCCATCCCCCGACAGATATTTGCTACTGTTAATCCCATCCCCCTCCCCCCCATAGTTTCCAGTACCATCAGTCATTTTCTCATAGTATTGCATTGGATGTTCAAGGTCCATTATATGAGTGAGAACATGTGATATTCGGATTTTTGTTTTTGTGAGAGGTCACTCAGTATTATAGACTCTAGTTCCATCCAGGTTGCGGCAAAATGATGAAGACCATTTAAATGCTTTAATCTACGATGATCCATGTCAGGCAATCCGACAATTGTCAAATGTGATGAACTGTGACCAATCATCGTGTGACATTTGCCTTTCATGGGCAAGTGAATAATACTTCCCTTATGCATTAACCCAGTATTCCCCACCTTTGAAAGACCTGCCGTATGCTCCTGATGCTGCTGCCTCGCATGTGCCTCTCCTCAAGGACATGCACTGCCATGTGTACAACTGTTGGTCTGTCTCATAGTGCTCAGGGTGGTGTCATGTTGGTGTCATTGAGGAAATATGGACGAACTCTCTTTGTCAATACTTGTTGGGGTTTGTTCATACAAACGTATATGGATAATTAACATTTTCTTAGTATATTGTGTATTCTTCCATTTCATGTGTAAGTGGATCTGGTTTTGTATAATCCAGAAGCTTATACAAGTTTTGGGGTTCCTGTTGAAGAAAAAATACATATAAAGTTTGTATAAAAGTGAATTTTCATTTGTAATAAAAAATCAAAAATATCAAAATAAATTATTTAAACATAGTATGAGCATCACAGAATTCAAGAAAGTAGCCCTAGTTTTAATGAATGTCTGGCATAGTTCTAGAATAGCCTCTTTGAACACTTCTCCATATGACATTTTTGTAATATTTCTATATTTTCTATAGAGAGAACAGAAAGGTCATTCCTTCTGTTCTCTTTGATCAAAATTTACTTTTTATTATTCACAGTCTAGAAAAGTGGCATTCAGCTTAATGACTTGGTAATATCATGTGAATTTTCAAGGTAGCTCTCAATTTAGGGAAACCGCTATGAAGTTTCTTTCATGTGTGAGCTATAAGGTTTGTAGAGACATGTTGAGTTTTCTAGTGTAGGGATTTGTCTTCAAAACCCTTTGGTCAATGATACTAGTTTGCTGTTGTGCTTGTCATAGTTATGAATTTTATGGTAATTTCAGTATTTCCTACCAAGTCCCTAAGTAGTTAGCAGGAGGTTGTATGGAGGTGAGCAGGCAGGGACACCCAAGTGGGGGAGGAGCAAGCAGAGGCATGGGTCAGCCATGGCGTGGCACCTGGTGGCATGGAGCTGGTGTGCAGGTAGTGCATTGGAGCCAGGTGGTTATGCGGCAAGCAGAGTGCAATGCAGGATGGTGGCTAAGGATGAACCGTCAAAACTCAGAGTTGTTGCTGGATCCCTAAACACTTGCAAGTTCAATGGAGTGTGGTGACTGTGGACCAGGCAGCCTTGGTTGGAATGCTCACTGTGTTCCATCCGACCTGCGAAGCCTTCTTGTCAGGACATGTGGGGTGATGGCCCACGTGCATATATCTCACCGTACCTGTGCCCGATGAGCCCCTAACTCAGCCCTTCCTCAGCTCACTCTCCAACATGACCCAGCACTCCTGCCATCCAGCGCAAGAGGAAGGGGATGGAGAGAAGTTGAAGTAGAAAGAGACAGTGGCTTAGCCAGTGCGGTTAAAGATATCACTCTTCTGAGGGATTTCGTGAGCAGGAGGGCCCACATGTGCAGGAGACCCCAAGGCTATAGCTTCTTTTGCCTTGTAGCAAACCTGCCTCTTTCATTGTTAAGCCTGAGGACACGGTATAGGGCTTCATTCCTTTCTTCTCACTGGCTTGCTTTTGTGTCATCCCTTTCAGGCGAGTGGGCAGATGACCTGAGGCACGGCCATGGTGTGTACTACTACATCAATAATGACACCTACACTGGAGAGTGGTTTGCTCACCAAAGGTTCGGATTCTGTGTTCAGTCCTACGGATGTATGTATGTAATGAGCATGTGATGATGTCTGCAGATTGCATATACTTACTAAGGAGCAGGAGCAGGTGCCGGACAAAAGCCCATTTACCAACTCTGCCAGGCAGTTCAAATCTTTCTGTGGCTTTAAGGCAGGCATTTTGGAGGTGACTTCCTGATGCAGGCTTGTGTAACCAACGTCTCCTCCTCCGTGGGGGTAGAACATGATGGTCCTCCACTGGAAGCCCCAGGGGGTAGAGGGCACAGAAGAACTCTCCAGGAGGCTGAGCCACAGCTCCCAGTAGCTCTGCCTCTTACCTGGGAAAGAGCTGATGTGCCGGAAGCTTGCCTCTGTCCAGCAGGTGAGGCTCATCCTCTGTGCGTCTGTCGCATCTGTCAATGTCCCTTGCTTGGGGTACCTGACTGGACACAGATGCAGAAACCACATCACTTATCAGCCTGCATCCATTTGTGTCTCTGCTATAAACCTGGGAGGTGTTTCACTGTACTGGAACAAAATGCCGTGTATCCCTTATCTTAACCAGGCACGGACAAGGCACCTATTTCTATGCAGAGACGGGCAGTAAGTATGTTGGTACCTGGGTGAACGGACAACAGGAGGGCATGGCCGAACTCATTCACCTGAACCACAGGTACCAGGGCAAGTTCTTGAACAAAAATGTAAGTCATTGGGAAGTGACATCTGTTAATGAAATACTAACCCCCTCCCCCAGCCTGTGCAAATGTGTGAATGGAAAGCACTAAATTCCCAGTGAAACACTTTCCTCGCCTCCAAATGTGGGGAACAGGACAGCTATGCCACTCTCTGAGCCTCTCTGGTACCCACGGAGGATAGCGTTAGGGTGAGGGGAGACTTGGCCTGTGTCCCACTGTCTCTCAGCAGGGTCCTGTTGCGTCATTTAAGATGAGGGGGCATTTTAACCTCGTGTGTGTTCCTTCTTGTTGGTAAATCAGACACCAGATATTTATTTCCTGCAGTTCGACCCCCCAGCTCCCCCGTCGTGCTGCAGGCCAGCTCTCTCAGTCCTGGTAGCAAAGTGCCTGCCCCAGCCTGGAGGCATTCCAGCTCCTAGTCCCCATGGTGGGCTCTTCCTATCTGGAAGACTTGGTGCTTTGCCTGCCCTTCTTGTACAAAGAAGACCTGAATAATTCAGGAGCTCCACTTGGGCAGTCAGGGGAGCTTTGATCAGGGTTGAGCAGAAACTTTCCCTGAAGAGAGAGTTTGCTGAGCAAATTGATGGTGTTACAAGTTGACACAGGAAACGTTTAACTAATTTAATGAGGTCTCCTCAGACTCTCTTCGAACTCACTTTTCACTTACATACAATTTATGCCCTAACCACAGATTTTGCTTTTAGGCTTTATTAAAACAGCACATTCTTCACAAACCTATTCATTATTTTGTAATTCTTAGCAAGATTTTCTTGGGTTCTTTAATGAGGGGTTGGGAAGATGGGTAGAGAGGAAGAGAACTTGATAAAAATCAATCTGAAAGAATCAATAAGTTTATACAGCTTAGACCAGTCTGAAAAATAAGGGTAAAAAATGGAGGCTGGCCAGGCTCGGTGGCTCAGCCTATAATCCCAGCACTTTGGGAGGCCGAGGTGAGTGGATTACCTGAGCCTGCGGGTTCGAGACCTGCCTGGGCAACTTGATGAGACCTCATCTCTACAACAAATCAAAAAATTAGCCGGGCGTGGTAGCACACGCCTGTAGTTCCAGCTACTTGGAAGGCTGAGGCGGAAGGATCGCCGGAGCCCAGCAGGTCGAGGCTGCGGTGGCCGGGAGCGGCCACTGCACTCCAGTCTGGGCGACAGAGTGAGACTCCAACTCAAAAAAAAAAAAAAAATGGAGGCTTTATTCTGCTAGTTAATAAAACACTTTCAATTAATGAGTACATTCCAGTTATAAAACATTTAAACACTAGAATCCTGCCCTGCCTCCTCCCCAAATCCTTCCACACTATTTCTCTGCATCATGTAAACATACCCTTATGCTTATATCTTTTTTTTTTTTTTTTTTTTGAGTTGAAGTCTCACTCCATTGCCCTGACTGGAATTCAGTGGCACGCTCCTGGCCACCACAGCCTCGACCTGCTGGCCTCTGGCGATCCTTCTGCCTCACCTTTCCACGTAGCCGGAGCTACAGGCGCGTGCTACCACACCCGGTTCATTTTTTTTTTTATTGCAGAGATGAGGTCTTGCCAAGTTGCCCGGGCCAGTCTCGAACCTGCAGCCTCAGGCAATTCACTTGCCTCGGCCTCCCAAAGTGCTGGGATTACAGGCTGAGCCACTGAGCCTGGCCTACTTTGGGATTTTAAACATAAATAGGGTTATATTATACCAGGATACAAAATATAAACAAAGATACATCTTTAACATTTTACACATTTGGGAGTATTTATGTAGATTAGATAATGCAAGATAGAAATTATGAGGATTGACATTTTAAATCATGGTTGAACTGCCAATTCAACCTACAGAGCTGTGTCAATTTATACTCTTTTTTCTTTTCTTTTCTCTTTTCTTTTCTTTCCTTTCCGTTTCTTTCGTTTTCAGGCATGATCTTGCTTGTCACCCAGGCTAGAAAGTACAGTGGCCTGGTCATAGCTCACTGCAGCCTTGAACTCCTGGGTTTAAGTGATCCTCCTGCCACAGCCTCCTGAGTATCTAGGGCTACAGGCACATATCACCACCATGCCCAGTTAATTTTTAAGAAATTTTTTGTAGAGATGAAGTTCTCACTGTATTGCCCTGGCTGGTCTCAAACTCCTGGCCCAAGCCTTCCCCCCCTCCTTGGCCTCCCAAAGTCCTGGGATTACAGATGCAAACCACTGCGCCTAGCCCCTCAATTTATACTCTTGTCAGCCGAATATATGAGTCTCGTTATCATATAGTCTCATCAACATTGGTTAGTATCAGTCTTTAACAATCTTGTTGTCTAATCTGATGGGCAAACTATGTTATCTTGTTGTTTAAATGTGTATTTAATGTGAAATTCCCTGAGGTCAAATATCATGTCACACTTTGATTGCTGTTTGTATTTCTTCCTCTGGAAATTACCTCTTCACATTCTTGTGGATAAGTTATCAAAACACACTATAAAGCTTCAATAATTAAAATAGTGTGATACCAAGATAGAGACACACAGACCATTGAAGCAGATTAGAAAGTATAGAGAAAGGCCCAAGTATATAAAATAATGTAACACTTGATAAGAATGTCATTTCAGATTAGTGGAAAAGTGATGGAGAAGAGTCAAGAAATACTGCTAGGAAAACTTGACTTATCATTTGGGAGGAAAATAATAGTCTTTACTTCATATAGATGAAGCTTCTGTTTAGAAGAAATAAAGATTAAAATGTAACCAAGAAAATCCTATGTGGAAAAATATATAGGTGATGAGCTCGTGCCTGTAATCCCAGAATTTTGGGAGGTCAAGGTGGGAAGATCATTTTAGACTAGGAGTTGGAGATCAGCCTAGGCAACATAGCAAGACCCTGTCTCTACAAAAAATAAAAATAAAAAATTAGCTGGGTGTTTGTGGTGCATTTCTGTAGTCCTAGCTACTCAGAGACTGAGGCAAGATTGCTTGGGCCCAGGAGTTGGAGGCTGCACTGAGCTATAATTGCACCACTGCACACCGGTCTAGGCAACAAAGTCAGACCCTGTCTCCAAAAAAAGGAAACAATAGTGTGTTTAGCTTTATAAAAATAACCTCATGTAGATTGGAAAATGCTATAGAAAATTTTAAAAATGAATGACAAGATGGGGAGAAATATTTGGAACACTTAATATGTAATATACCAATCAATGTGACTTAAATGGCCAAAAATCTTGAAAAAACATTCATCCTTACTAATAAATGATCTAGATTAAAATGATGTGATTCTATTTTTAAAAATATAAATAACATTTACAAATACATCAAAATGTTATTGTCCAGAAAACAAAACAAAACAAAACGAGGGTTTGAAGATAGGGGACCTAGGAATGAAATTATCAGAGCCTCATTCTGATCAAATGACATGCATACATTTACCCAAAAATTCTGATGATTTACTCTAAGAAAATATCAAGGGCATATATAAAGTTTTAATTCAAAGTGTGCTCACTATAAGACTTTTTGTCCAAAAAAATCTCAAAAAACAAAAACAACAGCTCAACTATCAGCAATAGTGAGCAAAATAGATTATAATTCATAGATGAAATAAAATACCAGGTTGGCAACTGGTGTTGAAAAAGAATACTTGTGAATATAGGAAGTAGGTCATGCTGTATTTCTAATAAAAAAGAGTATGAGTTAGTATGTGTAACTACGATCAGATTTTTGTTGGAAAAAACTGTATGCTAGCAACAAAGTTACAAAAAATACATCAAAATATTGGTAGTGGTTTTATGTCTATTTCTCTCTCCAGCTGATTTGCTCATGGGTGTTGACTTATTAAAGTTTTTATAATGAATTTAGCGCTTTTATACAGAAGTAAAATGTAAAAGTTAAAAAAAAACAGGACATATACTTTGCAATTTCATCAATCATTAGTTCATAAAATTATTCTTTAATCTGTACTGTACTTTAACCAACTTTATGATCTGGGGTAGGTTTTATGGTGGTAAAATTTGTGGAGCATTTTTTGTTTTCTGCTGTGTTTTGACACTTAGGAGTGAAGTACCTCTTGGTTTCTCTTTGCTCATAGCCTGTTGGCCCTGGAAAGTATGTATTTGACATTGGATGTGAGCAGCATGGTGAATATCGTTTAACAGACACGGTAAGTTGCAGAGAATATATCATACTCTGCATTTGTAAGCAAAGGAGCTGCTCAGATACAGAAATCCTACAAGGCTAGAGGCAGACGACCTAAAAGTTACACAACTCTTGGGAATTTTCACATTTTCATTTTCCTTGTTTGCATGTGTTAGTTCTGAACTTAATTGCCACGTCACTCTAGATGGTCTATTGCTCCCTCTTGAGTGGCCTGGGCCTGGGCCTCCCCCAGGGCATACCCACCCTCAACTTAAACAACAGAAATGTATTCTCTCACAGTGCTGGAGGCAGGAAGTCCAAGATCAATGGGGATGCTTCCTTCAGAGGCTGGGAGGGAGAATCTGCCTCAGGCCTCTCTCCTTGGCCTGCAGATGCCTGTCTTCTGCCTGTCACTTCACACCATCCTCCCTCTGTTCACATCTGTTTCAGTGTCCAAATTTCCCCTTTTTATGAGGATATCAGTAATATTGGATGAGGGCCCATCCTAATGACCTCATTTCAACTTGATTATCTTTGTAAAGACCCCATCTCCAAATAAAGTCACATTCTGAGGTATTGGGGGTTGGGGCTTCAACATATCTTTTTTAGGGAGACACGGTTCAGCTCATTACATTGAGGAAACACACTCCAAGACCTTGAGATGTGCACACAAGGTTTATTGTGAGCTGGAATTACCCTTCAAGGTTTCCTGATGGAGGCAAGGACCTGAGACCCCCACTGGACCCAGCAGTGCATGTAGGCTGCCACGGATGGGAGTGTGAAACCTGAGGCCCCGCAGCAGAGGACAGTTGCCTGGGAGGGACTCAGTTATGAGCAGTCAGCTGCCAGCACTCCCAGTAGCTGGAGGAACGAGCATCTGCTGTTCGTGGAGATCTACCCGCACATCACAGCGCCAGATGGCAGATACTCCTGGGAGGATGTTCTCAGAGCCTGGTCCCTGAGCCAGCATCATCAGCTTCACGTGGGAATCCTTTAGAAATGCAGACTGTGGGGCCCCATCCCAGACCTACTGAGCCAGAAATTCTGGGGTGGGGCCAGCGAGCTGTGTTTCAACAGGCCTTCCAGGTGATTCTGATGCACGCCAAGTTTGAGCACCACTGTCCTGCGGCATTGGTGTCTCCCTTCATGGGCGATGAAACTCGGAGATGTTGATACCTGGTAGACTATTTCTCAGTGGCTCAATAGATGTACTAGGCAGATACCTGTCACTCTTTGTCATAGATATTATCACTTATGTGACAGTGAAGTTTTTCATATTTATAGGGTTGATGCTCAGATCTTTGGAATTTTGTGATAGTCACAAAACTGAGAAGTAGAGAAATGTGCTTGGCAAAATTGGCATATGTTGTTTGTTTATGATTGTTGGCATCGTTCATTATTAGAAAGGGTTCCACATTCAAAATTGATGCGGTGTCATTCTGCTTTCATGGTATTTTCTTTTTCCCTCATAATCCTTGACACTAACTTTCGTGTTTACGTACCGCCATATATATTGACATCTTTGGAAGTTCTTAGACCTTTTCTGTACTGATGTCTCTTTTATTGTTTATATAAAGGATAATATAAATAATTATGTTTATTTTAAGGTCAATATAAGTATAGTTATAGAATATTAAAACTGTTTATATTAGATCTAGAAAATGTGACTGAACAATTGAAAAGGCCATTTGGTCTTGGCCCTTCCTTTGCTTTTCAGGTGGCTGGGACGTACTAAGTCTGACAGCCTTTCATGGCATCCAGTAGAAAAATCTTGAGTCCAGCATTATACTGCAAATTTCACTTCTCTCACCCTAGCTCTTTCAAGATTCATTTTCAACCCTTAGATTATACTGTAGGTAATTGGCAACTGGTCTGATCATGAGTGGAGTCAGGAAAAGGCTCAAATGCAAGTCAAAACCTGACCTTCCTCCCCTCACTTTTTTTTTTTTTTGAGTTGGAGTTTCACTCCGTCACCCAGACTGGAGTGCAGTGGCTGTTCCCGGTCACCGCAGCCTCGACCCACTGGGCTCTGGCGATCCTTCCGCCTCAGCCTTCCGAGTAGTCGGAATTACAGGCGCGTGCTACCACGCCCGGCTGATTTTTTATTTATTGTAGAGATGAGGTCTCGCTGCCCCGGAGGGTCTTGAACCCGCGGGCTCAGGCAATCCACTCACCTTAGCCTCCCAAAGGCGTGGGATTACAGGCTGAGCCACCGAGCCCGGCCTCACTTTTTTTTTTAAGTTGGGGTCCCACTCTGTCGCTCAGGCCACCACAGCCTCCACCTGCTGGGCTCAGGTGATTCATCCACCTCAGCCTTCCAAGTAGCTGGAACTATAGGCGTGCCACCACGCCTGGCTAATTTTTTTGATTTATTGTAGAGAAGAGGTCTCGCCAAGTTGCCCAGACTAGTCTCAAACCCATGGAATCAGGCAATCCTCTCACCTCAGCCTCCCAAAGTGCTGGGATATAGGCGTGGGTCACTGCACCCAGCCTCCCCTCACTTTTAATATTCCAGACCAAGATTACACAAATGTTGGTAAGTTTACTTTTTTTTGCACTTAAAATAGGAAAGAGGAGAAGAGGAAGAGGAGGAGGAAGCATTAGTAACTGTCATTCCAAAATGGAAAGCTACCAAAATCACGGAGTTAGCCTTTTGGACACCAACCCTCCCTGAGGAACTGATGCCCACAGATAGACCTGGCCAAGAAGAGACTCCGGGAGCTGAGGGTATGGGGTGCCTCGGGCTGTGGGACTCAGGGTGTGGGGTACCTTGGGCTATCAGAGTTGTGGACATTCCGTTCTCAGGCTGGTTATAGGTTGGACTCTCTGGGAACCAGACACTGGGATATCATTAGGAAGAGCCTTTGGGTTCGGACACTTCTGGGGAATGGAGTGGAGGGGACAGAAATGGGATTGCTTGGTCAGACAGTGAGGCAGACCCTCAACAACCTTGGTTGATTCCATGGGGAGCCCAAGAACTAAAATGTCCATTGCATCCTGTGGGACCTTTGTCCCTTCACTTGGTCAGTGACCGGATGTGGGTGTGACCTCAGGCTAGTGCTGACAGCAGCTGGGGGACAATCCTTCCTTGAAGGCTCAGGCAGCACTTTTCCACGTCCACCCTAGTAGTCTTCCTGAGCAGCTGTTAATTTGAATTGCCTGAGCCCACGGGTTTGAGACCAGTCTGGGTAGAAAGTTGAAGGTGGTTATTCTGGGTGAGAGTCCTTCCATTGCAAGTGGCTGGACGCCAACTCAAGGTGGCCTAAGTGAGGTAACAGTCATGCTGCTAATAATATATCGGTCCATAGAACTGGAAAGGGCATCGAGACACCTTCTCGGGTGTGGCCAGGCCACTCTCCACTTCCTCACCTCTGTCCTCAATTGCCTTGTCTTCCCTGGCCGGCATTCTCTTCTCTTTGGAGACATTACCAAATTGTTATCCAATCAGCTCAAGAACCAAAGGGCCAGAGAGTTATCTTCCCCAATAGTCTCATCTAAACCCTTGGGAATCAGAGTTATCAGACCAAGGGTACCCATCGCTCAACCTTTCACTACAGCAGGGCCTGAGCTGCTATGTTGGCCAGGCCTGGGCTGTGCTAGGTGGATGTGGAGCTGGGAAAAGCGAGATACTGCCATCAGGTGGAGGAGGTTGGGGCTGGGCAGCCCAGGGGCAGACTCCCAGACTCCATTCTGTTCATGTCCTCAGTCTTCTCGTCCTTTGTTTTATCTCAGGCATAGGAGAAGTTGGGGAGGAAGCCCAGGGTCTGATGGAGGGTTCCGAGGGCGACATGGAGATGCGGGCTGCAGATGAAGACGCATATGGCCTCAAGGACGAGAGCCGGGATAATGGGCGAGATGAATTCCGCTCTGACGGCGACCTTGGTGAGGATGCGGTCCATGCACAGCGAGGGGTGCGAGAGTGAAGTGAGCCTTGTACACACTGGGACGCGCCATGGGATTCTTCTCCTCCCATCCAGGTCTTAACTTGGGCCAGATTCCAGGGACTCAGGGAAGGTTTCAGAAGCCCCACTGCGAGCTTCTCATAGGTCCTTCTGCAAGCCTGAGAGTGGCAGGGAACAGCCTGAGTGTGTGGAAGTTCACCAGCGGTAACAGGAGGGCAGGCCCCAGGCTTCCCTCCTATTAGAAACGTAGAACTTGGCTCTATTTTATTACATGATTTTTACCAGGGCTAAGTCACTGGAGTATGGTAAAGGGCTAACAATGCTGGGAACTAGGTCTTTTTAAGTGGTTGCAATGCAAGATGAATTAAGAAGCTTCCACCTCTGCCAAGTCATAGGGGCAGGGATTTGACCTCACGTTGGACTGAAACATCAAGTTCCTGGAATCTAAAAATCTTTCCTCAAGTGCTTGTGAGCACTGTGAGAAAGCTCAGAGAGAGGAGTCTCTTCTCTTGACCCAATTTCTCATATCTGATTTAAAGCAGATGTCCTAGTTGTAAGAGAAGAGGCGGTCTGGGAACAGCTTGGGCATGATGGACCATCTGCTCCTGCGTGGCTCCAAACCACAGTCACTGGGTTTGGGGCCCATTCAATTTGGTTTGTCTTTGTTATAAATTCAGAATATATTTTCCATTCCTTTGAAGATAATATCTGAAATAATGAAATCACATAAAACAGTTTTTGATGTAAATATTTTAAACACACATAGTTAGACTTTTGTTAGCTATAATAACCCTGAATCCTATAAGGATGCATCAGAGAAGTGTGATTTGACTGTGTGGTGTTGTGGTTGAGCATGGAAACCTGGCTTTATGTGTTAGTGTCCACTTTGCCTGTCTCATTTGCATAAGGTAGGCAAAATGCTAAGGTAGGTAGGATAGCCACAGGATTCTGTGAGGATTGTGTGGCTGACGTATGCACAACACTTAGAGCAGCACACAGCCACATGCATAGACACAGGTCCTTAGTAGCAGGGGAGCATGGCCCGAGAGGTGACACTGGGTTCGAGCCGTGGGTGTGGGATTGAGAGTTAGGTCTCTTACCTCCAGAGCCTAACAGAAAGTTGGAGCAGAGGAACGGGTGACTCCACCTCAGTTCAGCAGGGATGTGTTATGATGTAACAGGAAAGATGATGACTCATCTGAGGCTGGACCAGGAAACTCCAGGGGAGTTGAGAAGGCTGAGAGGTGACAAGGAGTGGGTAAAACCAGGAAGGAAATTCCAGACAAAGAGCAGAGTCTGATGCCAGAGACCATGGCACTGGGGAGGTCGGCCCCTTTCCCCTGGGTCCTTTCTTGATATCATGTGACAGAGTTTGAACCTGATCCTGAGTGTGATAGGACAGGGGCCTCTCTGAGGCCCCTGTCTGCATCAGGTTAGCTCTCCAAGCTCCTCTGGGGCAATGAGGATGGGTGTCCTGGGCTGGGTAAAACAGAGGTAAGACCTCAACCACCCAGAAACTTGGAAGGGGAGAGAAAGGAAGGGGAGGTATGAGGAGGAAGAATCCCTAGAACCAGATTGGAAGAGAGTAGACCAAGTGGGTGACATACAGTACCAGTGGGCATCTGAGACTGCAGCCATGGACAGAAGGAACATCACCTGAACTCAGTGGTTTTGGCCTCCAAGGGACATTTGGCAATGACTGGAGACTTAAGGGACTGGTGAGGGGGTGCTACTGGCATCTTCCTGGGTAGAGGCCAGAGATGCTGCTAATCATCCTACAATGCATAGGATAGCCCTCACAGCAAAGGATTATCCACTCCAAAATGCCAGCGGTGCCTCCAATGAAAAGTGGACTCAATAAAAAAATGGGCTTAGTAGGCAAAATGTTTTATTACAATAAAAGAAATGCAGCAGAGCATGGAGGCTCATGCCTGTAATCCTAGCACTTTGGGGGCCAAGGTGAAAGAATTGCTTGAGCCTAGGAATTTGAGACCAACCTGGGCAAGTGAGACCTTGTCTGTACAACAAAAAAAAAAGGAAATAAATAAATAAAATAAAATAATAAAAATTCAAGATCTATTTATCATCAATCTCACATTGCATTAGAGATTCACCCTACTAATTTCTTCTTTAACATAGCCAACAGTGAGAATTTTAGAGTTTACTTAACAATAAAAACTCCTTCTGAATTTCATAAATCATTTAAGTATGGCATTTTATAAGAATGTAGCAAACTCCTGCTTGTCTTTTAATTAATATAAGGGTCTAACAGTTATATGTTTCATCCATAGAGTTGGCTGTTTTGAACAGGATATGCAGACATAATTATTAATATTAGATGAATAGTCCTGTCTTAGCATTTACTTTGAGTATGTCTTTTGAAAAGAAAAACTATAAAAATCTATATAAGATAAAATTTAACATTTCATTTTTGCCTGATATTAATAAATGCCTAATAGTTACAATAATTTTTGCCACAAAAGCTCTGTTAAAGAATTTTAAAATAGAACAAAGTAAATAAAGACTATATTCATGTTTCCTTTTTCTCCTAGGAAATACTAATTTCGAAGAAGAAACTAGACAATCAGACATACAGGATTAAGATGAAGCCAGCAGGAAGAATAGAATACTGTTTCATAAAAATACTTCTGCCAGTTGGAGAGTTAATAATCTTTAGTGTAGAGGTATTAATCTTTCTCACTTAGTTGTGCATTCAGTTGGTTTACAATTGCAAATAAATCTCTTTATTATCTTTTGTTTCTAAAATAGCTTTTGCTTCAAGTTCTTTAAACTGGGAGTTACTGGGTTGCTTTGCCATGGTTTTCAGTGGGATTTTCTCCTTGGATAAAGAAAACTATGACTCTGCAGAAGATGGTTGGTGGAGGTAGGCTTCTGGCTAAGTGAGGAGAGCAATTCTTACTAAAACTTCTCAACTTTCCCTCAGGAGAGCTAGGAAGCACTAGGAAATAAGGATTACTATGTGCAGCTCTCAAACAACACAACACGATAAGCACACTGGAGAATAGTGTTCCCTATCACACTCCATCTCAGTGTGGATTTCAGGTGCCCTGATGGAGTCCCTGCAGGTGGCCAAGGAGAAGGGCTGCCCACAGATAAGGTGTACTGTGCATACCCTTCAGTTCCTTTGTGTGCTGGAGATGCATTCAGGCCATGGGCTCCACAGCACTAGGACAGACCCGTGGTTTCTGGGGTTCAGCCACGATCTTTCAGGAGCCCTAACTTCCCATCTGGCAGTCTACCCCTCACTTGTCCTCATTTCTCCTGAGTGACTTGGAGGGCAAGTGTCTTCAGTTCACCCCAAAACATCCTTTAGAGTTTATCTTCTTCCGGGGATTATGTTCCTAAACATGGGGCCTCTGAGAGTGGTACATTATGAATATGACATTCAGGTTTTTAAAAAACCCCTACAGCATTATGAATATAAAATTATATTAGAATCGGTATTTTTTGGAATTTTAAAATACATTTTAATAGAATTACAAAGGAGAAGCTGACAAACAGCACAAAAGTGAAAAAATTATCAGAATCTTGTTATTTCACTACCTTATTAAACTTTCTAGGCTGGGCTCGGTGGCTCAGCCTGTAATCCCAGCACTTTGGGAGGCCAAGGTGAGTGGATTGCCTGAGCCCACAGGTTCGAGACCCACCTGGGCAACTTGGCGAGCCCTCATCTCTATAATAAATCAAAAATTAGCCGGACTTGATAGCGCACACCTGTAGTTCCAGCTACTTGGAAGGCTGAGGCAGAAGGATCGCTGGAGCCCAGCAGGTTGAGGCTGCAGTGGCCGCGAGCATGCCACTGCACTCCAGTCTGGGCAACGGAGTAAGACTTCAACTCAAAAATAAATAAATAAATAAATAAACTCTCTAATACGTCTTTTCCTACATTTATTTATTTATTTTTTTTGCCAGAATACTCTTTGCCTCTTCTTCTGACAAATTTGTAATATTTTCTACAGGGATATTAGCAGGATAATTGTACAGTTTCTTCAGTCATTAGTTATTGGTAATTGAGAGGCATGAAACATTTATCTCTGCATGCAGACATAAACTGTGCACAAAACTGCTACAAGATTGTGCCTTACAAGCAAGTGTCCTAGTACATCCCACTGCATGTGATCCTGCCAAACTGTATACACCCCATCATGGTGTCCCTGACAGGAGATACTCTGGTTTGATAAAACTTCAGTGAGGATCTTCTCTTGCAATTATACATTTGGTAAGTGGAATAATCCCCCACAGGCCAACTTCTGACACCATATGCGTCAAAGCTTGTTTCTCCTCCACTCCCACACACAGTGGTGATGGATCCACAGGACAAGCTCATATTGGGATTTGACTTTTGACTCCATGCCTTTACAAGGGGGAACTTCCCCAGAACTAGAACTATCTTTTGGAGGGTAGGCCCCTTGTAGTACACTTGTAATTTGTTCCTCTGGATCAAATGATCAACCAAAGTTTTTTTCTGGAAACTTTGAGAAGATTGCATTACGGTTTGTGGAGGAAACATCGTTCAGTTGTAGCAAACAGGTGACTGGTTCTACCATGACAAAGCACCTGTCCACACCACGCTGAATGTCTAGCAGTTTTTGACCAAAATGGCATGACCCCGTGTCCCACTCTCCCTATTCACCAGATCTCACCCTGAGTGACTTTTTTTGTTTCCCCTGTTGAACAAAGTCCTCAAAGGGAAATGTTTTGCTGATGTGGAGGTGAAACAAAAAACAGCAGAAGCACCGAAAGGCATCAAAATAGACAAGTTTAAGAATTGTTTTTGCACAATGGAAAAAGCATCTCAATAGTTATATTACATCAAATGGAGAGTTGAAGGTGACTGAAGTTTAAACATGTAAGAATAAATACACAATTTTTAATAAATAAATTAAAGGGGTTTTTTGGGTCACCCCTCGTATGTCACAGTACTGGATAAATTAGCAAAATGGGTGATGGGAGTATTTCTGGAAGTGATTCCTACTTCAGAACAGCTAGCAAGAACTGCACTACATCTGAAAGTTACTGCCAACCAACATATAACATATATGAATATTCTACCCCTGGCTCAATTTAAGCAGTGATCCCCGAAACAGATTCTAAAAATGATATGGTCACTTTGATGCCATGAGGAAAACGTGTCTGATTGAACTCAGGGTGGAAGAGAGGCACAATTGTGGTTAAAATACTTTGTCTGCAAAATAGACGAAACAGGACCGGGTAGATACTTTGTCAGGGCCTTGGAAGGGGCAGGTGTGGGTTCTGAAACACGAGACTTGGGAACTTCATGGAAATTCCCCTGCCTTCAGTCTGTCTTTATTTAGTACAGTCTCTTTGACATTACAGGCTTGGAAGGGGCTGGGGTATCTGCCTGGCAGAATCTCTCACCTCCTAGGTTTGTCTGGGTTCTTTTAGCTTGCTCTTCTCGCTCCTGTATATTTCTTATCGCCAAAGAAGTTATAGCTCAAGGCTTGGTGGATTAATGGTAATGTTCTTAGCAACAACTCATCATTTGTGGTGTTAGGTGATTCCTATTTCATTACAGCAGAAGAGACAGTCTATTTGGTTGATCCACTGTTTGTGGTTAACTCCTGATAGCGATTAGGGCTTGATATCTTTGGGGCCATCAATCGGCCCACTACAATTATAGTTTGAGAAATGGTTTTTCTAATTCTACCATTCCTTCTGTACTTATTAGGCTGTAAAACATGGATTTATTTTGTTCCCATGAAATACAGTTCCTTTTAGGAAGACAAGATAAATGCTTGATTCTTTCCCTTGAATTACCCGTTTTATAAGTGAAGTGTTAGTTTAACAGATGCTGCAGATGGTGACAAATTACTTTGGTCTGAATCCCTCTTTTATGCATAATCATCACGGACTTATAGATTTTCTTTGAGCAAATGTGTTTCAATTCACCACAATCACTGTTCTTTATTATGCCCAGACTGACACTATGTCAGCCAGGGGTAGCGTCTTCATGCTAGCTTCTTGTCCTGTTGACAGGACCCTATTGGTCCTTGAAAACTTCATTACAGTTTTTCGGTGTTTTTGACATTTTATTACTTATTTTTGTATAGTCTCAAATTTTTATTTTAAAGATGTGGGGTACAATTCAGAATTAGGTAGATAAGTGGTGATCGTACAGGTGAAGTTTGGGCCTCCCTTTGAGAACCACTTCTCCTGGTTTGAGATCAGATACCCTTATTGATGTTATACCCTCTCCCCTGGCAGTGTTCCACTACTGCCAATTCTCTTCTTACAGTATTATGATAAATGTTCAGAATCTGCCTATGAATGAGAGCATATAATACTCAGTACTTTGTTTTTGTTAGATCATTGAGTGTTACAGACTCCAAATCCAGTAAAGTTGCTGTGAAGTCCATAATTTTGTCCTTTTTTGTGACTGTGTAATATTCCATTGTGTATACGTACCATTAAAAAAAAAAATTCAGTCCAGTTTTAATGAGCAGCATGGTTACTTCCATGTTTTTGCTATTGTGAATAATGCTGCAATAAACATATGTGTGCAAGTTTCTTTTTTGTAGAATGATTTGAGTTCCTCCAGATATACTCCCAGAAGGGAGATGCTGGATTGTATGGAAGGTCAATTTTTAGATCTTTTAGAAATTGCCATGCTGTTTTCCACAGAGGTAGTAATAATTTATACTCCCACTAACAATGCAGAAGTGGTCTCTTTTCCCTGCATCCTCTCCAGCGTCTGTTGTTTTTTGAGTTACTGATGATGGCCATCCTGACTGGAGTTAGGTGATATCTCAGTGTAATTTGCATTTCTTTGATGATTGGTGAGGCTGAGCATTTTTTCATGTATCTGTTGACTGCTCGTATGTTGTATAGTCTCAAATTTAAAGAGAAGTTGTCAGAATAGTAAAAGAAACTCCTACACACTCCTTATTCAGACTCAGCATTTATTTGAATCTTGTCCCATTTGCTTTGTCATTCTCCCTTAGAGAGAAATAAATAGAGAGAGAGAGAGAGAGAGAGAGAGAGAGAGAGAGAGAGAGAGAGAATAGTATATATAGAGGATATATGTTTATAGCATACACAACTATATTTCATAACCATTTGAGTATAAGATATGCCTATGTATTTCAGTGTATGCTTTATAAAAACAAAGATATTCTCTTTTCTTTTCTTTTTTTTTAAATAGGAGTCTCACTCTCTCTCCCAGGTTGGAATTCAGTGGCATGCTCGTGGCCACCTCAGCCTCAACCTCCTAGGCTCAGGCAGTCCTTTCATCTCAGCCTTCCAAGTAGCTGGAACCACAGGCATGCACCACCACACCCGACTAATTTTTGATTTATTGTAGAGATGAGGTCTTACCAAGTTGCCCAGGCTGATCTTAGACCCACGGTTCAGGCAATCCTCTCACTTAGGTCTCCCAAAGTGCTGGGATTATAGTTGTGAGCCACTGCACCCGGTCAGGATATTCTCTAATATAACCACAATATAATTATCAAAATTAAGAAATTTCACATTGATATAATTCTCCTAATCCACACTGCATATCCAAATTGTAGCGGTTTTCTCCATAATGCCCTTTAAAGCAACCATTAATAATATTGGGTATTCATTCATGAACCTATTGGATATTTGCTTATCGTTCTTTGGGAAATGTCTGTTCAAATAGTTTTCCAGTTTGTATTAGACTGTCTTGTTTCCTGAGTTGTAAGAGTTCTCTACATTTTCTGCCCTTCATCATATATAGGTTTGCATCCAGTGTGTGGCTCGCC